CCAGTGGCTGCCTCCAGCCCTCCCTGCAGCTGTAACGGAAGCTTCTTCACTCAAGTGGCGCTTGCTGACATGCCTCCGTGAGCAGAAGGAGCAATAGGCACCATTCCCGCATGACAAGCCTTCCGTTTCAGTCAGAGCGTGAGCTGGTTTGAAAGGGACTGTGTTTTGCCAGTGGAAGCAAGCAGGTCGCCCCGCGATTTCCGCTACCAGGTTTTGAAGGTGGTCAGGTGGTGGGTTCAACAACCTTGATCTCCATGGTGCCCAGGACTGTGATTTTCCGCATCCAACCTGCAATGCCCAGGTACATGGTGGCACCCGGGCAGGATGTTGTCGGCACACGGGGCTCTGTGGATGTCAGCGTCACACTTGGTGATGGAGTTCTAGGTCACCTCGTGGATCCAGGCACCTGTCGGTCTCAAGGCCCCGTCTTCCCTCTCAGGGCTTGGCCGAGAGAAACAAAGCTGGCCGGTCCTCTCGCCAACCTGAGGGGCTCCTTCTGTCCCATGCAGGGGGCTGTTGAGAGAAATGGGGACTGGAGTTGAGAAGGCCAAGATGGAGGCGTGGCCGTCCTGCGGGGACACAGACTTGCCCACAAAGGAGGCCTGGAGGAGGGCGTTGGGAGGGCAGCAGTGCCTGTGGCCTGTAGGGATGACTTGTCCATCAGGCAGCTTCATCGCTCTTCTCCAGAGAGGAGGACTGGTCCTCACAGTAGGGCTCCCTACCTCGGCTTTTCCTGGATGTCCCGTGCGGTCTCCCCGTCACTGGACAGGGAAGAAGGGGTGATGGGTTCAGGGAGAGGCAGGTTTGTGCCAGAGCTCGGCCGGATGCCCTGGCTTCAGAGCCCGCAGCCCGCTTCGTCCCCTCGCACTGCGGCCCTGCGCATCCCGACCGCCGGGCCAGGGCGGAGAGCAGCTCCTGAGCGAGCCGCCCCGCTGCGCATGCGCGCTCCTGGCTTTGCGTTTCCTGGAGGGGCGCGTGTGGAAGTGGACGAGGGGAGCCTGTAAACCCACACTGTGGCACTGGGAGCCCCTGCTGTGAGATCTTCACTGTAGGAAGGTGAACATTTGCTATGGGCCGGCAGCGGGAGGGCTGCCCATGCTGGCGCTGAGGTCAGACCACACTGCCCTGTGCTCAGTGTAGAGCAACCCAAGGTGAGAGGGTTGGGGCCCTGAAGCAAAGCAGCCAGGCTGAGAAGGGCCTGGAGCCTCCGAAGGGCTGGGGCGCCATAGCCAGGAGCCAAGGAGAGGTAGCAAAGCCTGAGCTGGTGGCGGCTGTCCTGGGGGATTGGGACCAGCCGTCCTCCACAATGGCCTGTTCGCTCCAGGGCCCTGGAACAATGGAAGGAGGCCCCGCGTCGCTGTGTGGTCTTGCCCCGGTAGGTACAGGAGTAGAGAGTTGCTCAGAGTAGGCCTGGGGGCTGGCCTCATCCACCCCTCCCCTTCCACCAGTTGTGACAAGTAGCCATGCTACTTCTTCAGCAGGATCCTCATGAGCTGGTGGGGCAGTGGCCAGCCAGGTGTGGGCGCTGGATGGTGAGGGGCAGAGTATAGCCCCCACAGAGGGGCTCATAGTGAGTGCCGCCGTCCCTGGAGTCCAGTCTGATGCCCGGGGAATGGATTGAGAGGGGGACGAAAGAGGTGGCCCGCACGCCTGGGGCAGCCTGTGTCTGAATGGTGGGTCCAGGGAGTGGGAAGGGACAGGGAAAGTGGCTGGAGGGGTGTGGGGGTCCAGGGATGGGGCTGTCAGGTGCATGGCCTTAGGGCCCTCTGGGGGCCTGGCTGAGAGATGGGGTGTTGAGAACAATGAACAAGAATGGGGGACTCGCCCTGGGCCACAGGATGCAGAAGAGGTCAGGGATCTCGTGGCTGAGAGAGGAACTCAGGTTGGGAGTTGGGGGTCCAGGCTGGGGGTCTCAGCAGGGTAGGGGTGAGGCTGGGGGCTCTGGTACGCTGGTCCTCACTGGTACAACCAGAGGCAGATGGCAGCTGCACACTGGCTTGGGTGGTCACGTACCTGGCAGGAACGTTCAAGGTCTCTGCCAAGACCTGGGTCATCTTTTCCCTCTTGGCCTTGGGGTTGACTGGGGCCTCCACGAGCAGCACGGGATGCTCCTTTTGGCCCAGGCCCACCAGCACACCCTGGGGAGATGGGGCGGGGAGGCCTTGGGTGTGCTTTGGGGGTGGTCCAGCCTAGCAGCTCCACCCCTCCTGTGGTCTCAGCGTACCCCTCTGTATCGTGGAGCGGGGGGGCAGGCTTGCGGACCTGATGGCCTGGCCCTGCGGAGAGTCTTGTGGGCTGTCGGCTGTGGGGTGCAGGCAGCCCCCGCCACGCCAGCGCCCGCTGGGCTTCACCAAGCCTGAGCGGCTGTAGCACACAGCATACGAGCGCCGCGATATTATCCTTGTCACACATGGCTGCGGGCTGCGGGCTGCGGGCCGGAAGGGGTTAACCGCCGCTTGGCTCCTGGAGCGGGGGAGGGGTGGTGGCGGCTGAAACCTTGCAACCAGCTGCCACCCCCTGGGGGTGCGGGGCTGGACAGCTGCATTCCACTGGGGAGAGCAGCACCCCTGCCTCCGCACCCCCTTGTTGCTCTACACCTCCCTCCCCCCCCCCAAGCTGTGTCTGCCCCCCCTCCCCCGCCAGCGTCTGGCGCCTGCTGACAGCTGTGTCCCAGGAAGAGCCAGATGCCCGCCTGGGACTCTGCCTACACCTGCCCCAGGGACTCCCCGCTCTGCCTGGACCAGTGCCAGCTTAGGTTTCCCAAGGCAGCCTTTGCCTTCCGGTGAGGCTAGCCCCTCCTGCCTCTTTCTCCTGCTGGACTTTGCAGGAAAGTCCCCATTTTGCAGAGGGGGAGCCCCTAAGGCCCAGGGAGGGAAAGAGCCTTTCTCTAGGTAACCCAGCAAATTAGTTTCGGATCTACACCCCCTTCTTGAACCCTCCTGCTTTGGAGGTTGGACCCTTCCTAAGACTCTACTAGGGCCTGGGCTGCCACCCCTGCCCCAGGGAGACAGTACGTCCAGGCCTCTGGAGAGGCCACAGCTGCCCTCAGTGAGAACCCTGGGGTGGGCTCCTTCACCGTAGCCCTCGCCTCTGCCAGCCTCTGGGTTCAGTGCGCAACACCCACTCCACATGCCAGGAGGAGAGTCTAGGCCAGGTTCTTATCAGCTCCGAGATAGGGTTAGGTGCTCAGGGAGGTGGTGAACTCCAGACGGTGTGTGTGTTGGGGGAGGGGGGATCTGAGGGAGTTACACCGTATGGCACCACAGCCTAGGGTGCAGCCTCCTCCCCAGGCCTCACAAGCTCCATATTTGGACAGAGCAGCTGTTGGGCTGGCACCTTTAACAGGGTGCCAGGCTTGACGTGGGGGATCCCCAGTGTTTCTCTTGCCCATGTATGGCCAGTGGGGCCGGGGGCCAGCTCTGAGAAGGGGCACCTGGTATCTTCTCAGCCCATATATGACCATCAGGACCGTGGGGGCCTGGATTGTGAAGCTGGTCTCGGGAGTAGGGACCAGTGCCCCCATCCACCCCCGAGGCTTGGGATTATTCCTACTGCCCCATTCAGGGAGAGGGGAGTGGGGGCAACAGTCTGGGCCCTGGGATCAGAACTAGGACCCAGGTTGGGACCTCCAGGCCTCACCCCCAAAGAGAGAGAGAGAGAGAGAGAGACTTCCAACAATCTGAATGTGTGTGTGTGTGTGTGTGTATCCTCCCAGGCTTTTATCTAGGTGTATCTACCTCTCTAGATATTTCTTCTCTGTTTTACAAAAACGAGATTATATCACACATTTGTTTTTCTTGCTTTCTTCTTATCTGTTTTGAACTTTTTATTTTATTATTATTATTTTTTAAAGATTTTATTTATGTATTTATCAGAGAGAGAGAGAGCACAAGCAGGGGGAGTGGCAGGCAGAGCAGGCAGAGGGAGAAGCAGGCTCCCTGGGAGCCTGACTCGGGGCTCGATCCCAGGATTCTGGGATCATGACCTGAGCCAAAGGCAGACACTTAACTGACTGATCCACCGAGGCACCCCAATTTCTTGTTACTCTTTTTTTTTTTTTAAGATTTTATTTATTTGAGAGAGAGTGAGAGCGAGCATGAGCAGGGGGAGAGGGAGAAGCAGACTCCCCGCTGAGCAGGCTGCCCCATGCAGGGCTCGATCTCCGGGATCATGACCTGAGCCGAAGGCAGACACCTAACCAACTGAGCCACCCAGGCGCCCCTTCTGTTACTTTTTTAGCCCACCCAGTAAACAGTCCACATTTATAAGGAGATGGTTCAGAGACATGATTGTGCCATTGACCCGGTGAGGTTAGTCGGGGGCTTCTTAGAAGTATGCAGTTGAGGGGCGCCTGGATGGCTCAGTCATTTAAGCGTCTGACTCTTGATTTCGGCTCAGGTCGTGATCTTGGGGTCGTGAGATCTAGCCCTGTGTTGGGCTCTGCCCTCAGTGTGGAGTCGGCTTGAGAGTCTCTCTACCTCTGCCCCTCCCCTTGCACGTGCATGCGTGCGTGCTCTCTCTTTCTAAAATAAATACAAATTTTTAAAAACGTTTAAGAAAAAAAAATAAGTATGCAGGTGGTTGGGGCACCTGGCTGGTTTAGTTGGTAGAGCAGGTGACTTTTGATCTCAGGGTCATGAGTTCAAGCCCCACACTGGGCATGGAGCCTACTTAAAATTAAAAAAAAAAAAAAAAGTATGCAGGTGGATCAAGTGGCCTCCGTCTTTTGGGTCAGGTGACCTATAGGCCAGTATTAGTATTAGGCTAGTAGAGTCTCTTCCAACCTTGTGAAATGACGCTGACTTAACTCTCTTGGGCCTCCTTACTAGAACCTCCCTACATGTGATTTCAGAGCTGAGGCAGATGGAGAGGCTGTCTGGGGGCTGCTCCTGGGCTGGGAGCTAAGCCCCCCAGTGTGGGTCTGCACACTGTCTCACTTCAGGGAAGAGCCTGTGACCGCCATGTGTGTGTTTGTGCTACTCTTCTCTTTCCCTCCACAGCTTGGAGACCCTCTAGAGGCTTTCCCAGTGTTCAAGAAATACGATCGAAATGGGTAAGTGTTTAGCACTCCTAACTGTTGAGTGTCTGAAGGAATTCACCTTCCCAGAGTATGCTTCCTCCAACCCAAATTTTCTCATTCTTTGTTAGGAAAAAGGAGAAGCTATGGCGAGTGTCTTGTTGATATAAAAGCCCCTGGTTAGGGTGACAGAAGAATCCATAAATGAACAAAGATTGCCTGATCTTAGACTGATGTTTCTTTAGGATTTGATATTCTCTCTGGGTGAAGAATCGTAGAGCTGAAATGAACTTGAAAAATCATCTAGGCTGACTTCCTCCTCATATGCAGGGGGGACCCAAGACTCAGAGAAGCTGAATAAGATTTCTGAGCCATGGAGTTTCTCCCTGGCTCCTGAGGGGGCTTTTAATTCCCAATCTAGGGCTCTTTCCCGGAGTGTATGGTGTAATTGTTAAAAGCCACTTACTGGCTGTATGACCCTGGGCCCTGGACTTAACCTCTTTGTGCCTCCATTTTCTAATCAGCAATGGGTCTAATAATAAATGGTTTCATCAGGAGGATTAGGTGGAAAGTGCTCGTGCCTGGAGCTTATCAAAACCTAGGTCAGTGTTAGCTGTAATTACTACTGTTATTGTTACTAATCCAGTTTACTGCTGTAGGATCTGGGTTAAAGCCCCCTTCCCCTTTCTGTCCTTTTGGTTTATAGAATAGGAAGCATCATCAGTCTTACCAGAGCTACTTTGGCTTAGGGAAGAACGGGTTATGGTTTTAGAGAATCACAGCTATGGGTTTCAATCAGAACTGTACCTCTGATTAACTGTATTCAAACAAGCTACACTCCTTAAGCTTCATTTTTTGGTTTGTTAAATGGAGTGATGATGCCAAACTTGGAAGGTCATTTTAAGGAGGAAAGAGCATTATATCCAGTTCTGTAAGTAGCAGCTGGTATGAGTATTTTAGTGAACAAGATGGATAGATGTAAATATATGAATTATGAAACGAACACTTTAGTAGGTGACACTGTATCTGCTTTTCGTAGCTTTGTCTGAATTGCATAGTATCACGTTAACTTACCCTTCAGACGTAGTCCCGTTCCTCCAGTAGCCTTGCCATTCAGTGTCTGGGAAGTCCTCTGACACAGTTTAGGGATCCCTTCCTGTGATGTCTTCTAATGTTCCATATTCCACGCCCCTGTTGACTTTCAGAAATACTGGGACAGTCCTGAAGCAGGCATTGCCAGCTGACTCTAGGCTCCTTTGGTGCCTGGAATTTTGTGTGATTTGTGTGGCTGTGATCCTGCTTTCATGTACTTAAAGAACTCAAATAAAAAGAGAGAGCGAGCGAGAACTCAGATTAGTGGAGAATCCATACCTCCAGACCGACCTTTGGAAAATAGACGGCTGAGCCAGATGGAAGGCCGTATCGGGGCGTTTCTGACTATGACATGGTCAGTGCTTACAGAGAAAGGAAGACTCTTCAGAGCCAAGAAGTTCCGAATGTTTAAGGCTGAGCGCACTTGCAGCTCATATGGCAGACCAGACAGCAGAGGTGACAGTCATTTCCAAGGGGGACGTCCTCTGAGGGGTCATGTCAAAGGGCCATTGGAAGGTCCTGACCTGGGACCTCTCTAAGGACTTCGTGTCACTGACTTCGGTCCTGTCAGAATGCAGCACTGCCCGGAGATTGGCCAAGGAGCTGAACTGTGATTTACTAACGTTTCCCTCAGAAGTAAATAGATTATGATACCTTAATGTCTACAGCATGTGTTAGTGTAGGAAAACAGTGTGGGGTTGGACCCTGCCCCACCCTGTTTGGTCAGCCAAGAGGACCCACTGTGTCCTCAAAGGAAGTTGCAGGCAGGACCCCTCAGGGGGGTTATGAACCATGGTCTTCTCAAAGAGCCTGAGGTGACCCAGCCACTTTTGAGCTGCTGGTGAGGAGTCCGTTCAGAGACTAACTGCCTAAGGGCAGGAACTAGAGGAACCGAGAAGAGTCTAGTGTTTATAGCAAAGTGCAGAAGAGAGGCTGGGGAAAGCAAAGAGGTAGCGGAGGGGGATGGAAGTGTACAAAGTGCCGAGGCTGATAAGGGCCTTGCAGGGCAGGCAGGAAATGGGACTGTGGTCAGGGTGGTGGCCCGGCGATGACAGTTGTTAATCTCGGCCCAGAAGGCTTTGTTTGTTCAGCAGCACCTTCTGTAGTCATGTCCTGGAAGGCAGGGTGCAGGCTCGGCTTTTCTCTGTGGATGAACTGAGACCAGGCCCGCTGTACCACGAGGCCATCAGGGCAGCAGGCTGCCCTCGGGCCTGCGCCGGCTCCAGACGCCGCCTTTCCCTCTTCTTCAGGTTAAACGTCTCCATCGAGTGTAAGCGAGTGTCTGGACTGGAGCCAGCCACTGTGGCTTGGGCCTTCGACCTGACCAAAACCAACATGCAGACCATGTAAGCACACCCCGATGGGAGGGGAGCCTCACTCCTCCACTTCTGGGCTGCCCCGCCCTGACTCCCCCGACATTTCCCAGGTATGAGCAAAGCGAATGGGGCTGGAAGGACCGAGAGAAACGCGAGGAAATGACGGATGACCGAGCCTGGTACCTCATTGCTTGGGAAAGCAGTTCGGTTCCTGTTGCCTTTTCTCACTTCCGGTTTGACGTGGAGTGCGGGGATGAAGTCCTGTACTGGTAGGAGCCCCAGCGTGGGGTAGGCCGTGGGGAGGACACACCGGCGCTGCTCTAGGCACTCAGCCGGGTGGCAGAGTCCACTGTGCCGCTGTGGGTCTGTGGGCTGCCAGGGCCCCAGGCTCCTCTGATGGGCCCTGCCTCCCCGTGCTCACTTCGCTGCTTTCTTCATCCAGCTATGAAGTGCAGTTGGAAAGCAAGGTGCGGCGGAAAGGCCTGGGGAAGTTCCTCATACAGATCCTGCAGCTCATGGCCAATAGGTAAGGGCGTGTGTTGTTCCATCTGAGCCACCCACTGTTCTTTGAGCCTCCGTGGACAAGGCTCATAGGAATGTTTTGGAAGAAAGACATCTAGAGGGGCGCCTGGGTGGCTCAGTCGTTAAGCGTCTGCCTTCAGCTCAGGTCATGATGCCAGGGTCCTGGGATCGAGCCCCGCGTCGGGCTCCCTGCTCCGCGGGAAGCCTGTTTCTCCCTCTCCCTCTCCCCCTGCTTGTGATCCTGCTCTCACTGTGTTTCTCTCTGTCAAATAAATAAAATCAAAAAAAAAAAAAAAAAAAAAGAAGGGAAGAAGGGAGGGAGCCAGGAAGGAAAGAAGAAAGGAAGGGGATGAGAGGCTGGCTGCCACTGCATGGAGACTGGAATTGGAAAGGGTAACATTAATGAGAGTTCAGTTACAAGGTTAGTGTCAGGCGTGCCGGCCAGAAATAACGGAGACCTGGCGGAGAAGGAGGATTTCTGAATAGAGAGATTTAAGAATATGAATGGAGGGAGGAGTCAGGAATGTCGCCTCGTTTCTGGCTTGTGATTGGATGTCACTCAAGAAGATTGGCGGCATTGGAGGCGGGGCATAACCGAAAGGACCGCCCTCCCATACCCCACCCATCGGGGGGATGAGATGGCGTCGATTGGCTCTTTCGAGGAACGCGCCAAAAATTGACAGGGGCGGGCGGGAGGTGTGTCCTTGCGTCATTTCCGGGAGACTTCCGGGACGCCCTTTCCGGGCCTTCCCGGCGCCGGAATTTCCGGCCGGCACCGCCATTTTGACTTCCCGACCTTGGGCTATTGTTGGCAACTGTCGTCATTCCGTGTGGTCATGTCTTTGTCGACGGCGCAGCTGCTCAGGGGCCTGGCAGGTCTCACCCGGAGGCTCCCGGTGCAGCGTGCCCAGATCCATTCCAAGCCTCCGCGGGAGGAGCTCGGGACCATGGTGAGGAGTGGGGCGGGAAGGGCACGGGATACGCAACGCCCCAGTCTGGGGTCCTGCGGCGAGTTCGGGGCTGGCCGGTCTGGCGCGCTGGACCTCGGCGGCACTGAGAGTGCCCTGCACCTCGCGGCCCGCAGCCTAGCGGGGGGCGGCAGTGCTGGCTTGGGAGTGTCAGGAGGGCGCGAACGAAAGGGACAGTGCCCGGGCAGCAGTCGGGGCTCAGTCAACCCCAGGCTCTCGGGTCAGATCCTGCCAGTCACATTCCTGTCGCTTATACTCTGTGCAGCCTCGAGCCCTTAGCTCTCTCTAAGCCTGTTTACTCACTGGTTCACTGGGGGTGCCTGACGCCTGTCAGCGACGATAATGGTTGTTACCGCTGTTAATTATTAGGGAAGGTGGGTCTTGGTAATTTCCAGAAATGTGGGAGAGTTTAACCCTTAATGACTTTCACCTGTTTGGCGCTTTGTATGCATTTGCCTCCGCGGCAGAACTCGGCCTGTCTTGAGAATCCAGGTCAGCGGGCCCCAGTTAGGATCAGAGCCTGAAGAGCGCTGTGATTGCGGAAATGGTAGTGATCCTAATTGTAGCTGGCATCTGTTGAGTGCCTACTGCGTCCTGGGCACTACCAAGACTGCTGCGCTGGTCCCTGGGACCCTGAGGACAAAGGGCCATCATCTCTAGTTCGTGGTTAAGGGATCCGAAATTTAGGAGCACTGTATTCACTTGTCAAAAGTCAAACCTTCAGGAGCAAAGAATTTGAACTCAAGTCTAACTCCCAAGTTGTGCTGTGTTCTTAACTGCTGTCGGGAATATGGAGGTGGCTGTGAAAAGTCTCTTATCCCTAGCCTCAGAGGTTGAACAGGAGTCCTGGAAAGGAGATGGGAAGAGAGGGGTTCTTTTGGTTTTTTTGTTTGTTTAAATTTTATTTTTAAGTAATCTCTACACCCAGTGTGGGGCTTGAACTCACAACCCTGAGCTCAAGAGCTGCATGCTCCACCAACTGAGCCAGCCAGGCGCCCCGAAGAGAGTTTTTAAGGCAAAGAAGGGGAGGTGCATTTTACCTTATCAGCCTGTGCAAGGTTCCTGGATCCCAAGAGACCAAACAGGTTTAAATCATTGTTTCTGTCCCTTCGCTTTTGGATTTCTCTGGATCCTAACCCAGGCTGGTCCCCACGCCCCCCATCTGACCCTTTACCTCAAGGCCTAGAGTGGGCCTTGGATCTGCTGTGTTCCTCCTCTGGAGCCTGAATCCTGACTCCCTGAAAGAGGTTTTCTGCTGCCTGGGAAGACTGCTCAGGCTACGGGGAGCCTGGCGGAATCCTTATTCTGCGGGTTCCTTCTTTCTTGTGCTCTGTAGGATGTTGCCGTTGGGCTCACCTCCTGCTTCCTGTGTTTCCTCCTGCCATCGGGCTGGGTCCTGTCGCATCTGGAGAGCTACAAGAAGCGGGAGTGAAGGGGGCTGTCCTGTCCCTCACCCTGTGACCTGACCACCCCTGGCCTCTCCTGATCATGTCTGCTGCATCCCTGGCTGGTCTTCCCGGGAATCATGTCCTTCAATTACAGTGACCTCTTCTGCAGTCATGACCTCTCCATTTCTCCATGGTGACATCCTGGGACCACATATATTGGTTTATAAGGCCCTACTCTGTAGGGCCCTCCTTGTAACAATAAAGTCTATTTAAACCTTGCTTCAGAAACTCATCGTGTCTTTGGCCTGGGCTCCTGCCTCCATACTTCAGCTGAGGATGGTGTTGGGCGGGGGTGGGGAGAAGAGGACCTGGCCAGCCGCGTGTCCCTGCTGGCTGGCTCTCCTGTGGTAGGTCATGCACGCTCAGCTGTTCTTGCTGTGTGGTGCTTCCTTTGCATGCTTTCCTGTGTTTGAATGTTTTCTGGCTTCTGCGGAAAACAAATCCTGTTGTCACTGGGCAGCCTCTCGCTCATCCCATCTAGCTCCCTTGGTTGTGCCAAGCTCAGGGCTGTGCTGTGCGTATGTCTGTGTGTCTATCTTTCTCACTGGGGCCAGCTCTGCAGCTGGAAGCCCCCTCTGTGGGGCCAGCCTCCCTTTTGCTCCTCGGTTGTGAGCTCCAGCCATTTCTCAGGAGCTTCTTGTCCTTCCTAGATGGAGGCACTTCATCATATCTTGCTTTGTCATGTCAGCCCCAGGGCCCCTTTTAGTACTGTATCCGCAAATGCCCAAGGACTGACTGGCTTCCTTGTTCTCCCTGCCTGCTTCCCTGTCTCCTCCCTTTCTTGGCTTGGGGCGTTTGCTGCTCCTCCATTCCCAAGGCCCTTCCTCAGCGATGCTGGGGTGGCTGTGGCTTTCTCCCTGGCGGGGAGGAGGCACGGGAAGCGCTCCACACCGAGCTGGAATAATGACTGCATGTGTCTGGGAAGAATACTCAGACCTGTCGGCCCCACCTTTGGAGGAGGTTGCAGCTCCGCTGGGGTGGTACGGGCGATTTCTGAACAGATAGAGGTTCAGTGTCCCCTGTGGAGCTGAGGTAGGGTGTGGCTGGCTTTAGGCCTGGGGTGTTAACACATCCCCCAACCCCTCTTTTACAGGGCTTGTATTTCCTGGCTTTTGGTAACAGAAGCTGAAGGTGGATCCTGCCCTCCCTCCCTTGGTCTGGTCTTTCCTGGCCTTTTCGTGTGGTGTCTACTGATGCTTATGAGCCCGAGTATTGCTCGTGGGACCCAGTATCCAACTCCTGCCCATGGCTGCCTCCCTGAGGGGTAGGGAGTTGGTTGTCTTCCTCCTAAAAGGCTTTCCTTCCACACAAACCAGCCTTTGTGTCTGGGCCTAGAGTGCCCGGAGGTTGTGCAGGTTGGGCCACTGGCCAGGGGAGGGGGACAGTCCATGTAGGATCTAAAGAGCCAGGCTGGGTTAGCTGAGCAAGGGGCATCCACCAGTCACCTGCAGGTACCTCAAGAGCCCTTGTCTGCGGGGGAAGGACCTCATGGCGCTATCCTCCCAAACAACGGGGGCTTCTGTCTCGCGCCTCACTCTGGGCGGCTTTTCTCTTCACACTTTCTGAGCAGAGGGCTCCAAGCTACCTGGCTCTTGGTTGGCTCAGGTTTCCTGTGGACACAGAGGCGGCCACGGAGCTGCCATGGAACAAGACTGTGACACCAGTAGAACGTTTCTATGGTAACTCCACTGCCCCGCCAACGCTTCTTATTGGGTGTCCCCCATTTTTGTGCCCCTGGAACCCAGAGGGACAACTCCAGCCCAAAGCTGTGCATCTTGAGCCCCTGCTCAGGTTGGTGGGAAGCCAGGGGTCAGGGGCAAGTCCTTCAGGGGCCTGGTCTGAGAAAGTCCTCAGTGAGCCCATCAGCAACTCTGGCTCTTGCTCTCCCTCAACTTGCTGGGTCCTGCAGCATATGTGGGCCTGGACGAGAGAGTGTCAGGTGCAAATCACCTGTCACGCTTAAGCCCCATCCTCCCCTTGGTCCTCAGTGTGGCCATTAGGTCTGACATCTGGTCATCTTTCAGTGTCCCTCTCTCATTCCTAACCAAATTGGGGCCCTGGGTCCATTCCCTGCAGAGAAAACAAGGCTCCTTGTACTCCCAAATAGTATTTAATCAGTCGGTGTTGTGGATGTCTGCTAGATCCCAAGTCTGAAGGTGCAGGTATCTGCCCAGGAGTGCCCACTGGGCTGGGGGAGGCTGCAGTCATGGTAGATGCTAGAATGTCAAGAAAAGTGTACTGAGAGGAGGCCTGGGTTTGAGGCCTAGCTTGGCCATTTCTTATAGGATCTTGAGCAAGTCATCTAGCCTCTCTGAGCCTCAGTTTTCATGATTGTAAAGTAACAGAGATGTGGCAGGCAGAATAATGCCCCCTCAAAGATGTCCATGTCCTCATCCTTGGACTTGACAGGTATAATTCGTGATAAGCATGTTGAAATGGGAGGTGATCCAGTAGGCCCAATGTAATCACAGGAGTCCTTAAGTTGGACAAGAAGAGCAGATGATGAATAATATCTTGGAGATGCCCTCTGAGAAGGACTCTGCCCATGGTTGTTGGCTTTGAAGATAGTGAAAGTGGGTCATGAGTGAAGAGATGCAGTGGCCTCTGGAAGCTGGGGACAGCTCTCGGTTTACAGCCAGCAAGAACATGGGGACCTCAGTCCTACAGCTGCAGGGGACTGGATCTACCAACAACCTGCAGGTTCTCAGAGCTTCCCGAAGGGAACACAGCCTGCAGATACCTTGATTTTAGTCCGGTGAAACCCATACCAGGACCCTGACCTCAAGAACTGTAAGATTATACATTCATGGTTTTTTTTGTTTTTTTTTTTAAGATTTTATTTATTTTTCAACAGAGAGAGAGACAGCGAGAGAGGGAACACAAGCAGGGAGAGTGGGAGAGGGAGAAGCAGGCTTCCCCCTGAGCAGGGAGCCCGATGCGGGGCTCGATCCCAGGACCCTAGGATCATGACCTGAGCCAAAGGCAGACGCTTAATGACTGAGCCACCCAGGTGCCCTACATTCATGTTGTTTTAAGCCACGAGATTGGTGGTGATTTGTTACGGCAGCAACAAGGAACTCATGCATCCTTCTCCCAGGGCTCTGAGGCTCTCAGGGGAGGGGCCGGCTCCGGTGGACTGGATCCTCAGCAGACCGAGGTGAACTGGAATGTGAGGCATTTACAGGAGGACAGCACCCCAGTGAGGAGTTAGGGTATTGTGGGTCTGGGTGGAGGGCGGTGGGGGGCTTTCCCTTCGCCGTCTCCACCCCTCCTCTGCTTGCACCCCTCCTTCTGCCTTAGGTGGGCTGGATCCTGCAGGCGAGTATCAACCCAGCCAGCCGCTTCAAACTACAGGCCCTGCTCAGCCTCACCAGCCTGGCCTCTGCACCAACAAAGCCTCTCTAGATCATGACTTTGGAGCAGGCTGCCTGTGGACCATCGTGGGTTCCTTGGCAAGAGCTTTGGAGGTTCACATGGGGGCTGGCTGGCATGCCCCAGCTCTTCCTGCCTGGGCAGAGGCCTGACTCCCAAGCCTGCCCCAGGAAGGACTGCCAAGCCCTCATCTTTGGCCCACCTTGAAGGCTTTCTTCTGCAAAGCTCTCTCCTATAGCCTCTGTGCTGTTCGTAAACTCTCTCTGGGGCTGAGCTTTTAGTCTGAGTCCTGGTATGAAGCCTCTTCTCCCTCCACGTGGCAGAATCCTTCAGACCTGGAAGTGGTGTGCCCCCGCGGGGCTGTGAGGCGGCATCTGTCGTGTCAGTGGAAAATAAAGTCCTCTGCTGCTTGTCACCTTTGACTGTATTCAACAGCAGTCGGAACCCAAGCGCCAGCACTGCCTGTTTCACCGCAAGACTCGCAGTCGGGGCCAGCGGCGCCACACCATTTCTGGGGTGCAGGTTGGGAGATAGATGCCTGGAGCTCTGCCAGTGACCCCTGGCGAATGTGTGGGGTTTTAGATGCTTCAGGATAGAGAATCAAAACCCTAAAATGGTAAAAGTAATAGAAGCGATAGAATGAGGGTAAGAGAACAGTTATTAGCTGCCAAATAAATGAGCATACAGAAGATCAGGGCAAAAGTTGGCCATCCTGGGCTGGATTAAGAGCCAAAGCCTCCCTCTGGCCATTTCCTTCCCTTTTTTTAAAAAAAATTTTAAAGTTTTGGCTTTTTTTTTAAGATTTTATTTTTGAGAAAGAGAGAACATGAGCAGGGGGGAGGGGCAGAGGCAGAGGGAGAAGCAGACTCCCCACTGAGTAGGGAGCCCAGTGCGGGGCTCGATCCCAGGACCCTGGGATCATGACCTGAGCCGAAGGCAGCTGCTTAACGAGTGAGCCACCCAGGCGCCCCAAGATTTTATTTTTAAGTAATCTCTACACCCAACATGGGGTTCAAACCTTCTACTCCGAGATCAAGAATCGTTCCCTCCACCAACTGAGCCAGCCAGTTGCCCCTCCTTCCCATTCTGCCTAAGAGGGGTAGGGCTGGGGAACAGGTAGGAGAGAGGACCCTTGTTTACAGGTCCTTTTGTACATTGAAGGGACAGGTCTGTTTTGTTTTTTTTTTCCTTGAGATTTTATCCATTCATTTGTCAGAGAAAAAGCACAAGCAAGGGGAGCCCCAGAGAGAAAAGCAGGCTCCCCGCTGAGCAGGGAGCTCCATGTGGGACTAGATCCCAGGACCCCGGGATCACGACTTGAGCCAAAGGTAGATGCCCAACTGACTGAGCCACTGAGGT